CTCTTGCCCCCCCCCCCCAAGTATTCCTCTAAGATATAAAGGCGGAACAGTAGTGAGAGTAGTTTGTCTTTACCTCGCGCCTGCTGCACTGTCTCCTGCATGTCCTGTGAATGTCTGTATGAGGTGGCTACTACGACTCAGTGTTTCCTTGTTCTCTAAGCTGTGTGCGTTTCTCTCCCCCAGCCCCGTCATGAGTACTTTAATGTGCCTGTGTACTGACTGCCTGCCATCGCTGCTGCTGCTGCCACCGCTGCTGCTATCCACCCTGCATGCTGAGCTCCTCAGTGCCTGGCACCTTTCTCTCTGCCCTCTGAGCACCTGTCATTGTCATTGGTTCGGGGGGTGTAACAATATTCTCAGCTCCTTATTCAGTTCGACAGCTATGATACGATATTGTCACAATATTATTGAAAACTACTGTAAATGATGAAAACATTTAGGCTGGATTAGGCATTTGTTCTTGAAAATTGAACCTAAATGGAAATACCATGCTTTTATACTGAAGTTAGTCATCAGTATGTGTATTGATAATATATTTTGTGGTGATATATTGTTACATGCCTGTCATTCATCCACTTATTATTGGTTTCATCGCATCACTTGAACACCTCTCTCTGTTATTGCCACTGTAAAATAGCAAGTTTACATCATGTGCCATCTTGACCCAAAAGTATGCCGTTTTTTTAAATGTTTAATTCGAGGTCCACTTACTAGAGGTTCCCCGGAGCTTTCAACCACTTGATCTTCATCAGGGAAGGGACCTGCTGCTTAAAGTGGACCTTGTGTTTAGAATTGTTAATATTTGAATATTTTTGAGTTTTAAGAATTTTCTGACCTGTTTCCGAGGTCAAGAATGAACCTGAAACTTTAGCAAAACTACCAGCAGCTATTATTTAAAACCAGTTGAAACCAGCTGCTGTGGTTTTTGTGGTTGAAAGACATCAGTACACTATTTGATCAGGATGGCACCTGATTGAAAACCACTGGTTTAACACTGGTTACATTTATCTCACTGAGCTGTCAGATTTAATTTACACAGGACAAATCCTAATCAAAATGATGACTGTTCTCCACAAAAATCCCAACTTCTTTCTCTGTATCTGTGCCACTCAAACTATGCAGAGAAAGTCCGCTCCCTGTGGTGCACAAACATGCCTGATTGGGTTCAAGTACACAGAATACCTTAAAAGCATGAGTATTTAAGTGTAAACAACTGAATCTGAATTCGGATGCTACTTAAACACAGATTCCAGGCTCATTACCTTCACACTTAAGTTACTATAACGTCCAAGAGGTGTTCATCCAATCAGTTTTATATTTCATATTTTTATTGGTCCCCTCATTGGTTTTTGTGACTGGATTCACATTACGTCAGCCATGGGTGGGAAGTGGATGCTATGGAAGTCATGTGTTCCTTGACATGTTTTATCATGTTGAAGATTTGTCAGCTACAGTTTTGTATTTATCGTCTCACTTCAGAAGTGTTTGAATCTTAGGTATCGTCCTTGTGATTTCTAGGAATTGTCATTATAATAATTAAAACCAGAACACAGCACACTAGGAGACCTTACAGCTTTTCAACATTGTAAATGTTATTTTTTTAATTTTTTAAATTATTTATAGACCTTTCCTATTTAAATAAGTAGCAAAAAGCCCACTCTCAAGGTAAGTGGTGTTTAATGGGATCAATACTAAATAAATGTTAGCTCTTTGCACTAATTAACTAAGGGCTCTTCTGGCTTTCTACATTCTAATGATAATAGACATTTAAACACACTTTAACTAATTATCCTTACAAATTAGTTTCTCATAAATGGATGTTGACTAAGCAATTAAAATGTTTTATATGTTCTGTGATTGTTCATCTGTGTCCCACTAGAAAAACAAACCGTTAAATAGAAGATATTTTATCAATGTATATAATAGATATAATGAATAAATGGTTTATGATTCTTTGTCAATTAAGTACACTGGTGTTTTTCTTTAATATAACTGATTTGTCTCTGTGTTTATGGTGTTCTTTCCCCACATTTGACACCTTTGAAGTTCAGGCTGACATTTAGTAATTTTGTTCTTACTGCAGCTGTTTTTCTTCTGTGTCAGAAACAAACCAGTTAGTCTCAGCGCTGAATGGTGCTAAGCTCCATTTGCTTTGCAGATGAAGATGTTTAGCCTACATAATAAGTGACAAGGGATTCGTCGTCATTCCAGCAAAATTGACCCCAAGACTGAAAAGTTTATAATTGGTGAATCACTCATAGTTTACATTTCAAAATCTGGGCTGAACATGTTGCACTGAAAATGAAATGACACTCACTGTGCAGAAGTGGGTTGTTTTCCTCCCCTTACATAAAGCACGATTTCTGTCTCACTGCTCTGATGCAACTCCTCTCTTTACTTTGTGCTGAACCTTGTTTTAGGATGCCAAAGTAAGTGCTTCTCTTTCTTTCTGCCACTACCAGCCCGGATGTCTGTTGTTATTTATGATTTGTGACACATAAGCATATGTACAGCATGGATAAAGAAGTAAATATATATCATAGTTGTTTGAAGCATGTAGGCCAATAGACTCCTTTCAGAGCAGAAGTGGTGACATTAATGATGGCTGCAGTACATTTAGGTGAGACAGTCCCAGAGCTCTGGTACTGTGCATGCTCACTCACTGAAAGGGCTTACTGGGACTTAAAGGAATGCAACTATCAATTATATTATTATTTACCTGTGCTTTTCCTGCTTTCACAAGACAAAATGAGTGTATATGCACATATAAATATTATAAATATTGATTAATGCAGCTTTAACAACTAATTGTAGTATCAAATCCCCACATTTGGAGGGTGAATTAAACTAAAGAGTAGTTGGTTCCACTCTAAGCCACCCTTTTCATTGTGCATGCATTTATTAGATTACATTTTATAAAAGTGTTGATTAATGAGATTAAATAAAATACCCTGTTGAGTTTCTGACCACTAGTAGTGCTGTTGAGCAATGTTTTTATGAGTGAGTCCCTGCTTTGTTTTTATCATGCATGCACATGTGCATGTGGGTGGCACAATACACTGCTTAGCAAATGTTTTATGTAGCCAAAAATGAATTTAACACATTTGTTAGACCTGTTGGTGAGAAACTCTAAATGAAGACAAACTTTTGTTTAAAAGAAAACTCTACAGGGTGCATTTAACTACAACAACTAATTGCATATATTTGAAGCATATTTATTAATAATATGAATGCAGCTTTAAATGTAACCAGTTGAAATATCAAATTCCCAAATATAATGTAGTATTTGGAGGGTGAATAGGGTTGTGGATTTTTTTTAGTACAAACCACCCTTTTATGTTATTGTATTGATACTGCTGCTGAGGCAGTGGTGACATTGTATCAGATAAAACGTGTGTGTGTGTGTATTTGAGTAATACTGTGGTTGAAATCTGCTGTAATCAGTGTGGTGTGTATAACTCAGTACTTCACTGGAGCTGTGGTTCCTCTCTCCCTCCACAGGATGCAGAGACCCCGCGCAGCGTACTGGAGGAAATTGGACTGACATAAACGTGGTCCTTATCATCGTCCACTCGCACCACACTCCTTCATCTGCCAGCTGCTCTGCTGTATGTAGCTGATAACAACTCCCCTTCACCTTTGAGCACACCCAGCCTCACAACACACAACTCTGCCTTTTGTTTTGTACTTTTTTTTTTTTTTTTCAAACAATGTAGCACTGTTTTGGGTATTTCCTCCTGAGTTATTTATTTGTTCCATGTTATGACTTAAACTGTCACTGAGGAAAAGTGCAGCATAATTAAGGTTTTCATTTTTTGCTGCTTTCCAGTCCACACCGAGATGCTGTACTGAGTGAACTACTTGATTTCTATTTGACCAAAGTTAATGAGATCACTCTATTCTGTGAGGTATATTTAATGAACTTTAATGAACAGAATTTCAAATGTGTTAGACATATAAAATAGGTTATATTGTAAAGGGAAGTCAAAAGTATTACATTAACAAAACCAAAGAGTTATGTTTAATCTTGCCTTTGTTTCTTTAACATGGCATTGTATTGCATTGCATTGTCATTGACCATAGTTTCAAGCACAACACATACAGTACACACTCACCGTACTAACACTGTAAATGCTCCACTGCAGTGTGGATGGAAGAGCGTAAAGACAGACAATGTTGTCATATAATGAGTATTCAGTCTCAGTTTACAGCCCATTATCATTCTAATGGCAGAATCCCACTGCATTTTTAATAGTTTAACCCATTCAGAACCCAATTATGTTCCAAACACACACAAAAAAAAATACTGGATTTCTCCTCTAAATGCACTCATACATCACTAATAATAAAAACATTTTATACTTTATTATGTGTGGGCAGTGGACCCACAATGTGTGTAGATAAAAACGGCTCAAAACGATTCATATTCAGGTGATTATACACTAATGAAAACATACCTATGAATATCATATTACATTTCTGCCAATAGA